ACCGTACTCACCTGATTTGGCCCCCAGTGACTTCCACCTTTTTCCAAATTTAAAATAATTCTTGGTTGGAAAGAGATTCCACTCAAATGACAAAGTCATCTCTGAAGTAAACGAGTATTTTGCACACCTTGACAAATCGACCTATTGTGATGGCATAAAAAAGCTAGAACATCGCTGGAATAAGTGCATTGCTAACAAAGGAGACTACATTGAAAAATAAAAAAGTTTTAACATTATTTTGTTTGTTGTTCTATTTGAGGCCGCGAACTTTCCGAACAGCCCTCGTATGACAGTCAATTAATTCCAAATGATCTGTCAAATTGTATCGGGCTATGTTATGGCTGCATTTAATCAAAGAATTGGGTTATTTTATGATTATATTTGACAGTCTATATGTAGTGGAGTCAGAAATAAGTTGGACTTTTGGTGTAGATCAGGGCTTTGCAATTAAATTAAATGAAGGCTGCTTACTTACCTTGTCTTGAAATTTCTGGCCGGCCAAATGTTAGTCAATGTGAAAAGTGATACTTCCTGCTTGTCATCATATCCCTGTAATTTGGCTCATACTTTGTCCATGCAATTCTTATAAGGTTTTCTGTATTTTTTACATAAGTGAGCTCCTTTATTTGCATTTTATGAATGTTAATGTACTGAAAGTATTTTCATAAATTCAGCTTGTTCCAAACATTGTAAGAATTTTTACAGCCACTGTTGTAATTTTGGAGATTCAATATTGTTGTGCAGCTATATCCAAAATTGCAAGTAGTAGACATATTTAAATAATTCAGTAAATCTCTGATTTGTTGTAAATTTAGAATCATCTGGAAGAAAAGCTGGCAAGTGCACTACATGGCAAGTGGAGGCTGTGGGTTCAAGCCCTGGTCCAGATGGTTCTAAATTATTTAATAAATTATTAAAATTAGAATTTTTAATTTAGTTAAGAGATGGCACCTAATATCTAACTCTAGTAGCAAATTACTTAGTATTAATTATTAAAATTAGGAAAATTATAACCTAATTATTTAGGCAATCATTTGATGATGTTTCTTTTCAGTTTCTAACTGGTGATCCAGTTCAGATAACCTCACAGGTTGGATTTAGCTTGTGGGTTCCATTTTCAAAGCCCACATTTAGGTTTTATTATACAATGTATATAAATTTTTAAATCTCATTACTTTCAAAATAAGCTCCTATTGTAGCTTCAGCCTATGTTCATACCACTTGTCAAAGTAGTCTTAAAAGCTATTTGTTAGGATGTCTTTATTTGCTCTTGTTGCTGCAGTTCACACCTCTGCTTCTGATTGGATTCATCTTTTTTATTGAAAGGAAAAGAGAAAAGTCCTTAGGGACAAGATTAAAAGATAGAGAAGTTGTGGAAGTAATGCTATGACCTTTTGATTAAATATTTGCTGATTGGATATGATTAATGGAATGTGAAAGCTGCAGTGTTTTAATAAGCAGTATGGATGATGGCAAAAATTTCTAGCTGCAGAAGGGGCTTACTGTAAAGATGGTCTTCTGTAAAATGTACTATTAGCATAAAAGTTATATTAAAAAGCTATGTTTATTTTTTGACTATTATGTATATTATGTCTACTGTTGTGCATTATATTAGACCAGTTTTGCTGTCTACAACAATATAAAATAATTAAAATATATTCTCTTTTCATATTTATTTTGTCTTTTTCTTTTAATATAAAATCAATGTTTTCTTTGTAATTTATTTTAAAAATAAGTTTGATCTGTTTAATTTTGTTGTTAGAGTTATTAATAATTATTATTTTATAATTTTTTTACTATTAATGAAAAATTAATTTGTTTAATAATGAAAAAAAATTTCAACAGCTTAAATAACACAGAGCAGTGTTGTTTCAATTTGAGAAATTTGAATATAANAAATGTCTAAAGTATGAATTATTATGTAATAATATGACCAAATATAATACATTTCCATCACTGACAAATTCATCTTTCCTCATGGAAACTCCTATTAAATCTCCAACACTACCACCAAGTGACCTTCTTGGTCCATTCCTTGAAGCTGCAACATTAACATTTTTTAGAAACTTCTCTTTTTCTGAAAATAACTGAGTTGTAGAACTTTTTGGGCTGCTTTCAGAACCTGAGAAAAAAAGTATATGAATTATTTTCAATCTTAATGCAATATATTAAAATAAGAATTCTTAAATATATTACAATCTTTCATACCCTGAGAAAAAAAGTATATGAATTATTTTCAATCTTAATGCAATATATTAAAATAACTATTCTTAAATATATTACAATTCTAATGTATTTTTATTTTAGAAACACACAGCATTTGCTAATTTTCCAAATAGAGAGAATGCAGAGATAGCTCTAAAAAGGTTACATCAGTTAGAGATTTTAGGTTGTCGTCTAGTTGTAGAATTTGCTAAAGTTCAACATCAAAATGATTTTCCTCATGAAAGTGACTTTAAAAGGTAATTTATATGTTGTTATCACATGATTTATTATATCTGTTATTATTATTTATTACTTCTGTTTACATATTATGCTTTGTTGCGATGATGATGATGATATCATTATATTCTTATATCAAAAATTTTTCAATTATATACAAGGCCTGTTCAAAAAATACACAGACTGTTTGAATTGCACAGCTCCAGTTGGTTCCAGGGGAATCAGCTTGGTGTCACTAGGTTTGTACAGATTGTCTGGTGATAAGCTGGTTCCCGATTACAGATATCTTTATTTGTTAATTAGCTACACGGTTTTTAGTGAAGTGCTATTTTTTTGTTTGCCGGATTTCAGAATGAATCACCTGATGGAGCAACGACTTGCTGTGAAATTCTGTGTTAAACTTAGAAAATCTCTGACTGAAACATTTGCTATGCTCAACCAGTGAGTGGGTGAAACATTCCCCAGACCCAAAAAAGCTTGTCATGTTCAATCCAATGTCAAGGTGATGCTGACAGTTTTCTTTGATGCTAAGGGTGTTGTTCACCACGAGTACCTCCCCCAAGGCTTCACAGTGAACCAAACTTACTATGTTGAAGTTCTGAAATGTCTGAGGGATGCCATCCATCGCAAAAGGCCAGAAATGTGGAGGAGTGGTGATTGGTTTCTCCATCACGACAATGCTCCAGCCCATTCAGCCCTCAGAACTCATGAGTTTTTGGCCTTCCCCACCCCCTACTCACCTGACCTTGCTCCTTGTTACTTTTTCTTGTTCCCCAAACTCAAAAGACCCTTGAAAGGAAGAAGATTTGAGATGATTCCTGAGATTAAGGCAAATGCAATGAAGGCGCTGAAAGACATTACAAAAGAACCATACCGGAACTGTTTCAACAAATGGAAACACAGTTCGGCTAAGTGTGTGTGTTGGGAAGGAGAGTACTTTGAAGGGGAACCAGACATGTAACTTCTACATAAAGTACATTTTGTTTTATAACGTTAGTTTGTGTATTTTTTGAACACACTTCGTACACTATATCCATGACAAAAAAAAACTTTGTCAGTTTGATGAAACACAAAATAATTTCATTCAAAAAATTTTTTAAATATATTTAATTTAAAAATTGGTTTAAGTTTAAATTAAAATGCAATGTATTGAATTTATTAACTAAAATTCTTTATTAGTATGGAAAATTTTACATGGAGCTAAGTCAACATAAGAAAATTATTATTTTGCTAGTTGTACACAGCCAAATATTTACTGTAAAAAATTACAAATAAATAGGGAAAATAAAGAAGCAAATAAATTTATTCACAAAATATTTATCAACATAACACTTATGAAATTTTTGGTATACAACATTTTCTGTGTTCTGTGTAACTTTTATGGTTATGTATTCATTTCTGCATGTAAATTAAGTTGATGACATTTAATTGAATTAGTTTTTCATTTCTTGTTTTTTCAATTAATTGTAATAAGAAAACTACTACAAAAAGTAAGTTATTTTGTTGAGAACTCTAATGCTTATTAGATCTATTAGTAAATACATTCAAGCCAAAGTCATGCCACCAATAAAAAATTAATAGTTTATACAGCATAATTATACTTTAGTATCATTACATAATGTATGTAGTGAACATTAGTATGCTTTTACATATGTGTATTTACATCAGTGATACATGATTGATTCATCAGCTGTTGCAAACAACATACAATGTAGTTTTCATGCATATTGACATTTTATTAATATACACCCTTTGTCAGAAAAGTTCCAGGACAAAGCTCGTAAAAAGTAGAAAATTGCAATTACTAAGTAATGATGCTAGCCTCTGTCAAAGTAATCCCTTTGGCTATCTATACACAATTGCCAATGTTTCTGGAGGTCTTGGAAGCAAGCAGAGAAAGCTTCAAGTGTGATGCTTGTTAGCTCATTTGCCACAGCCTGTTGGAGTACCAACATACTGGTAGCACCAACTTTCATCCACTGCAATAATCTTTGACAGAAATGTGGGATTATGTCTGACTCTGTCCAATAGTTCAGCAGCAATTGTTCATCTGAGATCTTTCTGTTCAGATGTCAGTACATGAGGGGCAATTTTTGCATTAAGTTTTCATTTTCCTGAATCTTTGCATAAAATCTTATGTCACACATCACGATTCAAACTCAGTTCTTCTGATATCATACATACAGTTACATGACGGTCTTCTTGCAGTAATAGCATTACACGCTACATGTTTGCATTGCTATGTGCTGAAGAAGGGCAACCTGCTCTGGGATCATCTTGCACTGAATCTCTGCCTTCATGAAACCTTTTGCCATTTGATGAAAATCCAGCTTCTTGAAAGTGCCTCACCTGCATATGCCTGCTTAATTATATTCCACATTTCAGAAGGGGTTTTCCCGAGCTTAATGCAGAAGTTAATGTTCACTCTTTGCCCACAATCAGCATCCATAGTGTCACTCCAACTATTGCCACAGCAATGCAAACAGTGTGTTGATAAGTGCAGCCCTGCCACCTAGTGAGTTTGTGCAGAAACATTTCCAAAAACATGTCAAGTAAGAACACATACCAGGTGACATTAAAACACTAGTTTATTGTTTTTTATTATCACGTGTACAGAAATTGTAAATTGTGTAAAAAAATTGTCCTGGAACTTTTCTGACAAATGGTGTATTAATTTCTATGTTAAACATGAGTTTTAGTTGAAAATATATGTAGTTATATTTGTTTATATCTGCTGAAGTTACAATAAATAGTGTACAGCAGTTGTTAAGAGTGATGTTTCACTTGTTTACCAATCTGTGGTAAGAGTTCCCAATTTATATATTTTGTATAAATCAATATCTGTTTTCTAGAAATTTTTTCAGATTTAAAAATTTAACTTATATTCTGGAATGTATGGTAAATGAAATATGTAATGTGTTTAATGATATCAAAAAGTAATTTTTGAACAGTGTTTTCCAATATTTTCAATTATTTTTTTACAAATATATATATATATATAAATGTATGTATGTATAAAATTAATTACATTATACACATATACTTCAGATTTTCAGATAAGCAAAAGGATGTAGAAACAAATGGAATTTCTGAAAAGGAAAATATGAGATTAAGGATGGAAGAGTTTTCTAGGAGAATTCATGCAGTTGCTCCTCATTTACGGTACATTTTATTTTAATGATTTATTAACAATTAGTTTAAACTGATCATCTTTTTTCATTGCATTTTTAATTGAAATATTTCAGAATTTTTGCTAATAAAATGGTTTATTAATTGTTCTTATTAAATTAAATATTTTCAAATTTTAAAATATCAGTTTAAAATATCTATAAAGAAATAATTTTTTACCATAATTTTGCTTAAACTAACTCTAATTTCTTAATGAAAACTAACTTAATGAAACAATTATCTTAATGAAAACTAATTATTTTCATTAAGATAGTTTGATATTTTAGATAAGATGAAATTTATAAAATGTACATGAACTACAATTTTTCAAACTTCTTACATTTTACAAACTTCTAATTATCACGATAATTATAAACAAAATGCTTATTTCTATTTTTGTATTTAATATATGAATTTTAGTTTATTTATATAATGGTGTTATAATGTAAAATTCAATTTAATTAGTAATAGATTTTTAAACTATAATCATTTACATTTTTATATATTTTAAATTTAAATATTATAAGAAAAAATTTAATAGTATGATTTACAGTATGTTTATAATTAAAGTATATCACTTTAGAATTAGAACACTCTGAAAACAAAACTGTTAGAGATTGATAAAATTTCGTAGATATTCAGAGTTTCAAAAATAGTAACAATTTTCACCACTAAGGAGCTGTAATGGTTCCACTGTTGCATCAAAGAAACTGTTCAACATGCTTTTGGATACTCACAGTCACATATTGCAATTGAATTATCATGTTAACAATAGCAAAATACATAGCAGGACTAATGAGATTTACTTTCCTTTCAATTCACCTCTTCAGTTTACATAAATTTGCTAGTCCATCTGTATAACTCCTCTTTTTCAAATAGTCCTGTAACTCTAGTCACAGTGTGTGAGATCAAGTTAATGAGCAGGCTATTGCATTGAAAAAAAATTGACTGATCATCCTTTCATCACCAAGTGTGTTAGTATGTCCCTCACAATGACTGTGGTGTGGGATCTTATACTTGCACCATGTTGCATAAACATGATGTTATTCAATCATCTCTGTTATAGTTTAGGGATGACAAAAGTTTGCAGAATGTCTTTATAATGCTCTGATGTGTTGTGATGCTGATGTGACAATAGTGCCATAATAGATCTGAAGCAGCAAAAATTTTAACTGTTTTTGATGATAAAAGAAATAATAATAAACTTTTTCAATTATAAATCAAAACTTATTATTAGTGAGCTCATATAAATTTTAGGAACAAATTAAAAGTTAATTTAAAATTTTATTTTTGCTTATAAAATCTTGTTATTTTTGTATACATTTTGGTATCATTTCTAATCATTAGAACATTAGATATATTATGATATTAAGAAATACTAAACTGCTAATAATGTTGAAGTAGGAACATTTATTCTGATGAACTACTTTGAAGAATAATTTATGTTCCATTGTCAGATTAAACTCTCACATTTCACCATCATGAGACATAAATCATCCTGAAAAACATTTAATCAGAGAAAATGGTGAATTCTTGACCCTTATTAGTAGTTTTGTACTGAAGTTGGTAAGAATTAGGTATCAAGGAAAATTAAATTATGATAATTCTGTTGTTAATTTTTTAGAATTTATAAATTTAATATTGAGTAAATTCAAAATTATTTAAATGGATTAATAATGAATATTAATTTTATTCAGTTATTTTTTTTAATCTTTCAAACACGACAAAAAATTTTAAATGTCTTTTCCCATGAATTACTTTTTAATAAATTAGAAATACACACATGTAAAAAAATTTGTTTTCCTGATTATTAATTAATAATTATAATTGATTGATAATTAATTATTGTGTTAATTTTTAGATTAGATTATTTGCCATCACCATTACTTAAGTACTCATATCCAAGTCCTTCACCATCTATTATTAGTAATATAGCAAATGCACTGGCTTCTGTTCCAAAATTTTATACTCAAGTGAGTAAAATTTATTTTCAGAATTTTTTTTATTAGAATTATTTCATGTAAACAGGGCTCATAGCAACCATGGAAAACCAGAAAACATGAAATTTTCATGTATTTGGAAATTAGACATAATTTCATCAAAATTGTTTTGATGCATGGAAGCAATTGCATAAATTTTTTTGTTTTTCTTTTTGTTTTATCTTTGATCACAAATAATCAAAAATTAGTACTGTACTTTTACAAAATTTATTTATAATGCTTAAAACTACATAGTTTTAATTTTGCTCTAATAATAAAATTGATTTTATTTTTAAAATATTTAATTCAAAAATTTTTTAAAATAAAATTTGTGTGTAAGAAAAAATTATGGAAATTTAATAATTATGATACAAAAATATGGAAACTTCATTTTTTAATTAAAATTCAGAAGTGTAAATCAATATTAAGATAATGTCTTTGTAAAGAAGTATCCTGTATAAACATTTGCATATATAAAAGGATGGAAAACTGTAATGCCACCTTAAAACTATCAGGTGACATATGAGAATTAATTAATATAAAATGAAAAATAGGTTAAAATATCTTCTGATTTACAGCTTAACAAAAGTTGTGTAGGTAAAACAATAGTAAAATACAATGAAAATGGAACCTATCAAGCAAAACCTAGCCAAGGAAAAAAAAGATTACAATCTGTAATGAAAATAAGCATGTTAAAGGTCTTGTAAGAACCAATAAAAGAAATTCCATCAATTGACTACTGCTTGGAATGAAATAACTGGGAAAGCTAAGTCAGCTAAATCTACTAAGGTTTGTTAGCATGTTAGGGTTTGTTTCAAGATTTGCTTTGAAGAAATTACTTTCAACTAACTAGTAAGTGTGTGAAGAAAAAAAATGATTTACATGGATAGACAAACAAAACTTGAAAAAAATGGAAAACAGTTTTGTTTAGTGACAGTGTCATTTTTCATTTTTTAATGATGGTTGGCTAAGAGTCATTTGCCATAAAAATGAAACATATCATGCAGCTTGTGTAAACCTGAAGGTGAAGTTCCCAGCAATGTCCTGATTTATGGTAGCAATGATGTTAGAATTCTTTGTTTGACTGAATATACTTTGAACTTGGCTACATTAAAATATTAGATCATTTAATTCCCACTGCTCAGTTTTATTACAGGTGTGGAATATGGGAAATACTTTGAATTTTATTTATCAGTAGGATGGAACAATATGCCATTTAGCTGGTTCAACCAAACATTGGTTTGAAGAACAGTAAATTCCATTATTAGACTGGCCAGAAATAGTCCTGATATGAACCCTACAGAAAATATATGAGATAAAATGAAGGAAAAAGTGACAGAGACAAAGCATGATGTTGCATCATTTAAAACTGCTGTGGAAGAAGCAAGGCTAACCTTATACTACAAGAGTACAGGTAACCCCCGTATAACACGGTAGTTACGTTCCAAAAAATTGCCGTGTTATGCGAATCCGTGTTATGCGAAACAAAGAACTAGTACGAAAAGGAGGGTTAGGTTCCAAAAATTAAAAAACATGCTACTATATTTTCATAATTAAGATAAATATCTTTATTAAAATTTTCTTAAGTGATACATATTAATATAAATTAAACAATGTTTTCTTTGTCATCACTAAAAGCACTATTAACCGAGAGCGTTTTATTTTTGGCAAGTTATCGTTATCCTCTGAGCATTTTTCTGCATTATTTTCAGATTCATGCTTTACCTTTTGCAAAAAGTGTATGTAATTTTAGATTGCTTGCTTCTAGTTAAAAGATCTTTATAAATTTCCTTATATGGTGCTAAGCACTTATGGAATAAGGGAAAAACATCTGGCAACACCAGAAGCAGAAGCGTCGAGATCTGGCAAAATTGAAACAATTTTCGCGAAGGACCATGTGTATGAAGACGATAATAAAAAATTTACACACTGAAGTACTAATAGTTCACGAAAATTATTATTTTCGTGAACTATTATTACTTAAGTATGTAAAAATTTATTACATTTCATGTTGTACGAGGGTTTTACCCATTTCTCGAACTGTGTCAGAGTGAATCCGTGCTATAAAAGTACCGTGTTATACGGGGGATGGTACCAATTCTCGAACCGTGTTAGAGTGAATCCGTGCTATAAAAGTACCGTGTTATACGGGGGATGGTACCAATTCTCAAACCGTGTTAGAATGAATCCGTGCTATAGAAGTGCCGTGTTATACGGGGGTTACCTGTATAATGCTTTAACTGAAACCATGCAACATTGGCTACATTTGTCTCACAAGGAGAGAGCCAGACATTTGGGTCTCTGATTTGACAACATTTGGTTAGCATGTAGCCCTAAACACAAACAGCTCTTTGTCCAAATAATAGGACCCACTTCTCAAGCATTTCTGAAAAATGGAGCTCTAAAAATTGAGTGTTTAGCTTTGAAAGTTTTACCTTTTCTTATAACAGTGATGGGCAAGTGAAGAAGATGCTAGGTACTGGAGTTACACAATATAGGCTTGAACTTGCTGGTTTAGTTTTTTTTATGTGTAACAAAATTATTTTATTATTTTACCATATCATTAGCATTATTATTACTATTATTATTCCTCACGTTTTGAAAGCTCCATTTTTCGGAAATGCTTGAGAAGTGGGTCCTATTATTTGGACAAGTAGCCGTTTGTGTTTAGGGCTACATGCTCACCAAGTTTTGCTTGAATCAGTTACCTAAATGTCTGGCCCTCTTCTTGACAGCAAAAGGAAGATGGACAAAGTATTAAATTGCCTTTTTTTGAATTAATAATTTTGTTCTACACACAAATTTTATTTAAAAAAATTTTTGAATTAAAATTTTTAAGAATAAAATCAATTCAATTATTCAGATATTATCAATTCTATCAAAACAAAGGTAAAATAATTGTTTAATTATTATAATTAAATTTTGTGAAAATACTGATAATTTTTGACTAATTACAGATGGAACTTGGAGAGAGACAAAAAGTTTCTATAATTTTGTTATTGAGTTTACAAAGAACTTTGTATTATTGCTATATTATGAACTTAATAATTTTGTTCTAAGCACAAAATAAGCTTTAAATCTAATAATATTGGAAATTTTCTATGATAACATGGAAATTTCATGGAAATTTACAATGACAAACTGCTATAAACTCTTAAGTTTGATCTTTGATTTTTATAGAAAATATAAATATTGATACTCAAGTATGAATGTAAATGTTTATGAAAATATAATTTAATTTAGTTTTGTGTGTGTGAGGAATGTGCCATACACACAAGCACACACATCATATATATCTGCTTGATTAAAAAGATACATTAATATTTTTATTGACTTCCAGTAGTTTAAATTGAAATATTTTATTTTTACTTATTTAGATTAAATTGTAAATTTAATAAATTATTTATGTATTTTTTGGTCATACTTTCTTTTAGCTTGAAAAAAATGCCATATGAAATATGAAAAATTTGAAAATAGCTTGTTTTGTATGGATATAAAGACAAATTGTATTTGTATTTAACTTTTATCCATATGTAGCAATGGATATAAAAATATATGAATTAGAACTAATTATATTCACTATTTTAAAACTTTCTATAAAATTTTAAAATCCTCTATTATTTGATAATTTAAAAAGTAAAATTTTTAAATTAAAATGCCTAAAAGAAAGGTTATTTTTATCTGTAAAGCTCTTTTATATTAAGTAAATCAGACAGATCTATATAGGTTTTGGAGACTTAACCCTATTGATACAAAAAAGATTAAAATTAATTTGTTCAAACTTCAAAATGTTTTTTAAAACATTTATGATGGCAAATATGGTTTATCAGACCATCCATAATACATTTCTTTCATTTTTAATAAAAGTTACTTACAATTATTCAAATACAGTGGAACATTGTTTAACGAGCACCTCTCATAATGAGTAATTCGCATAATGAGCAAAACAAATTGTAAAAAAAAATGTCTCACTTAACGAGTGACATTTCACATAACAAGTGATGAGAAGAGGGGAAGTCCCAGATTGTGCATATGCTATATCAGTCTGTGTTCAGCTCTCGCTCTGCTAGCATCTTAGTGTCATTTGTGATCGCACATTTTTCCAAACTTGTGTTCAGACATATTACATATAAACATGAACAACCATAGTCTGTTATATAATAAACATGCCAAACAATATGACAAATTCTTGGGCTATGTAAAGATTATAATTAAATATTAGAAATTAATTTATTTGACTAGAGGTAGGCAGTTATGCTGCCATCTTGTATGAAATTTAATGACCAATTCCAAATTAAATTTTGATTTTTTTTTTTTTTTTGTTTCCTGCAAATTGAATTCACATTCCAGGTTGGTTCATTCTGCACTAGAAGAAAAGATGAAGATGATTCATACTCCTTAACAATGTATATTGTATAATTTTCTTTAAATAAGCATTGTACATAAAATATTTGAGTATTTATCGGCATGGAATGCATTGTTGCATTTTATATTAATTTATATAGGAAAAATTGTTTTGCTTAATGAGTGTTTCATATTACAAGTCAGATTCTGGAACGAATTATGCTCGTTAAGCAAGGTTTCACTGTGTTTAAAATGACTTAAGTCTTCTTTGGGTTCTTCTGGATCTGCCATTACAATAGATTGATTTAGAATCTCGTAGGCAAATTTATTAAAGTTTAATATTTATACAGGAATTTTCAAATTTAATAGACATCTATTTAACTTGATAATTATTTAATCGATTATTCAATATTTATCAAAATTTAGGTCATGTAGATTATTATTATGTGCACCAGTTGTACAATGCAGTACAATACCTAGAACTGATATAAAGATAATATCAATGTAAGGTTTTAAAAAATACTATTTTATATATTTATTTATTATTTTATTTAGATAGATAATTTCATTTTTTTAATGATGTTATTACTCAAAATTTCCATATTGAAAACTGTTAAATGTCAGAATGTATACTTCAACTAATATTTGAACATACTTTTAAAATTTGCTTGATTGAGAGTATTTTTAAAAAATATGAAAATATAGTCTTGAGTTGTTTAAGTGTTCTTGGAAGTTAAAGAAGAATAATTTTACAAAGAAAATTGTTTTGTATATTACTCATTTATAACTGTGTTTTGGCAACTTTTCACATTTTTCAAATACTTTTAGGTCATTTAAAAAATATTATATGTAATTCTTTATTATTTAATTTTAATTATTATTGTAGTGCATAATTTTAATTTTACTATTTTGTATAATTTATCTTATATATAGTGAAATTGCATATTAAAAAGGATATTTGTTTATATATATATACAGCTATATAAAGCAATATACAATCTCATTTTATATAATTTTACTATATCATGATTTCAAAAATTTTAAATAGACTCTGAATTAAATCATATATCTATATGTAGGATTTAATCACCATATGTGTAACAGTGTCATAAGAGTTTCTTGGCTGCACAAGCTGAAGCATCACAAATGATGATAATTTTGTCTTAAATTTTTTTAATCACAAAATGCTCAGATTTTTTGTTGTTGTTGTTGTTGTTTTTTTTTTTTTTTGTTGAAAATTGTCAATTTGTAAAACCACAACCTTGAAATTTCAAATGAGTGATTAAAAATTAATCCATACATTGGTTCTTATATCAGCTGTTTCATAATCTGTTAAATGATTAGTTGCAGATGTAACAATTAGAAAAAATAAAAATGTTTCTTTTTAAATTTTAGATAAATAGTTATTTTTCATTTTGGCAATGTATCCTTACTTTTTTTTTCTTTGTCAATTTGCTTTATATGGTTTCATTTTAAACAATACTTTATTAGAACCAATTAATTGTATAATTCAAAGAGTCTTTTCTGCACAACTGTAAATTTATAAAAATAAAATTATGGTCATACTTATATATCTAATAATTTATTCGTAATATCATAAAAATTCAATGATATTAATGTCCAGGACATGAGCTTCATGAGGATAGAAGGATCAACCATCAACATGGAAGTTTATCGTAAATTCAATGATATCTTACAACTGCAAATTTGCAACAATTATTAATTGTTAATTTCTAATACAGAAAATGGACTCAGCAAACTTAAATATATTTTGAATTGGAATACCCTACAGATTTTGAGTATTAATAGTTTTATATGGAAAGTTTTTCTTTAATAGGTCTTGCATTTAATGAATAAAATGAATTTACCTCCTCCATTTGGGCCAGTTACGCAAGCTCCTCCACTACAGCCTGATATACACGTACAAGAGAATTTAGAACAAGATATTGTAGAAGAAGAAGAAATGGACATGACAAGTTCTGAAGAATCTGAATTAGAAAGTGATGATGAACTTAAAAAGTAATTATTCTTATCTATATTTATATTACATGGTTATTTTTAAGTTAATTAATGATTCTCAATATCTTTTATACCTGAGGTAAGAATTAATTTGAATTTAACCTTTCATATTAACATTTTAGAAGTCATATTGTATAGTGTTTAGATGATTCAGACATGTGATATTACTTTTTGAGGCTGACTGTTTTTTATTAATGTTCATAATTATATTGAAAGACCAAACAAACATTTTATATCATATTCATATAACAAATGAAAAATATATACAAAGAATTAAATGGCAGAGAAACATAATTTTATCATCAATTAATTTCATTATGATTATGAAATTTTTTAATAAATAGCAAATGCATAGCCAAACAAATCAATTTAAAAATCTAATTACTATGATTAAAATTAATTTGATGATTTTAACTATAGATTCCTAAAATGATTAAATAAATAATTTAATTTTTTATAGACAACAGCCAACAACTGTAAAAAGGCAATTAAAGAAGCAGAAAAGAAAAGTTAAAAAACCTAAACTAAAGGATTTACTTGGAACCACAGTCACATCATTTCCAAAGACAACTACAGGACCAGTTTTAACTCATACAGATGTTTTCGATGTTCCATCAGAAAATCAAACTTTAAAAAAGATACAGATCAACTTAAAACCTACAAATGAAGCAGAAAATATAGATGAAAATGGTTTGTTATTTATTTTTATAATCATAATAAAATGTGTGTTCTGAATAGGAAATGCAGTTGTTTAATTGATTAACAGATTTTACATTTTAACTAGTAATATATTTTTTAAGTAAATATTATACATTAAGCAATAGTAATGCTTCTTGTGCTTTTGTATACAGTAATACCCTGAACTTACGCGATAGGTGGGACTGAGCGATAACCGCGTAAGTCGAATTTGTGTAAGTATAATTTCGCAATTTGTGTAAAATTCAAGTCAGACGTATGTAAGCTAATAAATGTTCTCATTAATCTTATCTCGTCATTTGATTCGTTCACGGTTACAAGAAATCCCCACATAGAGTCTCTCAAGTCTCCGTAGATATAACAAACACAGAAATAAATAACACAAAATAAATTGTAGCTATGTGTCAATTCCGCACGACACGTCTGAACATGTAAGCTGAACAATAGTATGGGGGGAGTGAGTAATTGAGAGTTATGTGGCGCTCAAACNAAGTAAATATTATACATTAAGCAATAGTAATGCTTCTTGTGCTTTTGTATACAGTAATACCCTGAACTTACGCGATAGGTGGGACTGAGCGATAACCGCGTAAGTCGAATTTGTGTAAGTATAATTTCGCAATTTGTGTAAAATTCAAGTCAGACGTATGTAAGCTAATAAATGTTCTCATTAATCTTATCTCATCATTTGATTCGTTCACGGTTACAAGAAATCCCCACATAGAGTCTCTCAAGTCTCCGTAGATATAACAAACACAGAAATAAATAACACAAAATAAATTGTAGCTATGTGTCAATTCCGCACGACACGTCTGAACATGTAAGCTGAACAATAGTATGGGGGGAGTGAGTAATTGAGAGTTATGTGGCGCTCAAACAAAAGATGAATCGACGAAATTTGAAAATCGCGTAACTCCGGGTTTGCGTAAGTCGAGGTATTATTGTATATTCAAGTTGTAGCTTTGAATATAAATATTAATTCCAATTAAACAATACTGTAATTTAGCAGACTAGAGAAATAAAATTGTTTATATATTTTTACAACTTCTGAACTAAAACTGATTGAATTAGAGTTTTTATACTGACTACTTATAAAATCCAAAAATTTTATTAGTTTGAATAGCTTGAAAAGATGAGAAATATGACATTTTTAAGCTAGAGTATATAATAAGATTATACATACATTCCATAATAATTAATTTTTTCAATTGTAAGTATAACAAAAAATATCATTATTATGATGTAGAAATATGTTTATTTTGTTACATCTTAAATTTAAAAAAATTTATCTTAATTGTTCTATAATATACATTATCAAAATTTACAGAGAAAACTAATACTAAATAATAAAATATATATTGTACTATTTCTTGAGGATATCATAATATTTTTTAAAGAATTAATAAAGAAATTAAAATTTATAAATAAATAATTTTATTTATAATAATGTTAAACAAGATTCTAATTTCATGAAGATATAGAATGCTGTTTTTGATTTCATAAAAAAATTAATAGAATTGATAGAACTTAGATTAAACACAAGTAAAATGGCAAAACCATATTTGGGACAAGACTATGTCTCAGAGACAGAATCACTTTGATGCTCAAGGCAGGTATCATTCTCATTCTCCTATCTTCTTTGATATCGCTGCTTTTGGATGCGATCGTTAAAATTTCGCCTGCCTCGAACACGAGGTCGTCCATGAGCCATTTTCGGTGAATGTTCTGTCGGTGAAAATTTACTGAAAAACTGATAATTTACTTAATTTGTATCGGCAGAGTGATATTTACAACAGCGTCAATATATAATATAAATCCAAGGTCGAATCGAAAGGTAGTAAAAAGATGTCTCTCCTCATTAGAATTTAGGAGCAAAGTGAAGTCAAAGGGCGAAGGTCACATGCAGGTGCCCTCAGTCCTAAGGTCAGAGTTTACTTCTTAGAATGACTGCAGGTGGTACTCTCCCCTACCTGACTTCGGTGGGGTGAGGTGGCTGAATTGCCTGTTTGTAGAAGAGGGTCACCATTTTGGATTTTATTTTGACTCAATTCTCAGTCCCCTGACTACCTACGAGTCTGAATTTTTTATGCACAAATGATTTGGGCACCTAATACTCTGTGCCAAATATCAACTCTCTACGTGTACTCCTTTATACCTCTATGCTGATAAGAACAGAAGGCATTACGATTTTATAAACAAGACATAGTCTTGTCAATTATTCAAATATTATTTATCTAGTGTTTTAATAAGATATAATTTAAAATTTTAATGTTTTAATTTTTGCAGATGATGTAGCAAAAGATAAGGAACCAATACGTGTTGAAGAAGGAGGATTTGGTACTATTGCTCCACATAAAACAGATGAAGATGCAGAAACAAATCAAGATGAAGATATGGAAGATATATGGAAAGAATCTAAATTTATTACATTCCAAGAACTTAAACGAAAAAAATGTTCAGAAAGTGGTAATTTTTAGTATTAGTATACTTTAATATACTACAAAGAATTTATATAAATTCAGATTGTTTTTTTACTTGATAGAAATGAAACATCTTCCCGTATTTAAAAATTATAAATCTGGACAACCCACCTATAGACTGTATATAAAAAATCTTGCAAAACAAGTTTCTGAAGAGGTAATGTTTTTAAATCATACAATTAGTATTAATCCATTATAATTGTGAAAGCATGCAAATATTTACTAAATGCATTCTTAAAGATATTGAGGAGTAGAATTAGAATAGTGGGCATTAAAATTCATAACCTGTAAATTAACTAGATTTATATAATAGTAGTATTATTATGATTTTATCATAATAAAGTTTTTCAAAATATATTTTTAACATAACATTCTTGAACATATCAATAAATAGTTAGAACAAGATATTGTAGAAGAAGAAGAAATGGATTCTGAAGCATTTTATAATTCATATAAAAGTCTTGGTATTGACTCATGAATACTGAAATATAATATTTTTTTTAATATTTTGTAAAAATCTATAATTTTTATCTATTTACATTATATTTTTGAAATGTTGTCCTTTATTTAATTCTAATATTTATTATTGAAAGAGATTTTTATTAAATATTGATTCAATTATACAAATTACATTCTATTGTAATAAAGAATTTAAAAAATTGTAGGTTTAATTTGTTTATTTATTTATCATTTTGTGTGTGCTTTTTTTCTCTTGATAGTGTTATGATTAAAAATAAGTGATAGAATTCTACAAATATACAGTTTTTTATTTAATTTATGTAATGAAGTCTGCAAGTCATGTCTTGACATAAAGATAGTTTCTGTATAATTTTATCATTACAGTTAGTGCTTTTGTGTATACATAAGTTTGAACTTAAATAGTAAATTTTCAAGATTAATGAAATAAATTTACAACTCCTTGTTTGCATATCTAAACTTAAAATACTTTTAATCAGCTATACAGAAAGTTAGCATAAATATTTATGTGTCTTGTACTTAAATACATTAGTTTAATAACTTAATTAGTTTGTCACCTAAATGTTGTTATTTGTAAAAAAGCTTCTATGAAATTGTTACTAATGATTTGGTTTTTTTAAAATGTATAAATATACAAGAGTTTACAAGATTTTAAATAACAAGAAATCATATTTAAACTGATAATTTATTGTAAGGTAAATGTTGGATAAACAATAATAAAATTGACTGAAGAGGGACTAAAAGTCTGAAATGCATTTTGATTTAAATAAATATTATATGAAGTAAGAAATGTCTTCTGTGTCAATCGTTGTGACAAATCTAGTGCAAATTGGATAGAATCATCAAAATGATAAAAAATATTGATTTTTGCTCTGGGGCCCACTCAACCTTCATTGTAATGAGTACATTACCTTCTCAGCAGTAAAAACAACTGGAAGGTGACATGAGTGAACAGTGACAGCCAGCAAAATTTCCAGTTTTGATACTCGATGCCAATACTGGCCAATATTGATACTTTAAGATCGATACCAATATCAATGTTGGTATTAATAAATACTTTAAAACTACTCATGATACTGGTATCGACATTTTTGTGGTATCAGAACATCTCTAAGAATAACAGATTATGATCTTTTTATTTTTAAATGTCTGCATTTTTTTACTATTATTAAAATAGTAAAAAATGCATTTTTTTACTATTATTAAAATAGTAAAAAATGCAGAAAATTATTGAAATAATTTTTTCATTTCACTGGGATATTCAATTAATTAAAATTTTTAACATTCTTTGTAATGAATTTTTCCAGAAATAGATTTAATTACTTTTTTATTATATAATTTTATAGAAATAATATCCTTATTATATGTTATTTATCATTGTACTTGACAGGTTGACAACTTTGTTTTTTTCTTTTGCATTTTTTATAGGATCTCAGATATATTTATGGCAGATATATTGATCGAACTTCAACAACTGAAAGAAATATGTAAGTAATTTTAATTAACTTATTAAAATAATTTAAATTTAATTAACAAATGAAATTTAAATCTTTGCTTTTTTAAGAATAAACATTTTTTGTAGTGAATCAAAAATAAACTAAACAAAACCTGAAAATAAATCTAGAGATTTTTTTTTCATTTTTATAAATTTTTTTATTTTTTAAAGTTTTTTGTTTTTTTGTTTTGTTTACTTTGCTGAATCAACCAAAAGTCAACAGGAATAAATCATGTGAATAAGGGATGATGTAATTCTACCTTTCTTTTCTCTGTAATCCTTATAAGTAAGTTTAAGAATTTCAATACAGCACTTTAACATCAAAAGATCTTAAAGTCATTGTTATTGAAAATCTTTGGATGTTAGAAGTGTTGTATTGACACAATACAGTTATGAGCTCAAACAACACAACTCAGATGCTGTAGCAACTGGAAACTCATATTTATTTGGGAATCTGTCCCATACAACAACCTTGAAACAATGCAACACTCCCACGTTTGACCTGCCCAACAAATGGGTTGCTCTATATAAACAGTTAAATAGTGATTTGCATGTTCTGGTATACTGTTAACATGGATCTCTATCCACGCATGCACTGCATTATGTCATAACATTAAGTGTAATCGAAGTTTATGGCATGTTCATAACAGTTTTTAATTCTTAATTTTTAATTTAAAATAATATGTGTTCCACTCACATTAGAACATTTGTATTCGATTTTAAATTCTGTACACCTGACAACAACAAATATAAGTTCATTGAAAGTGCTAGCAATACAAAAACTATTAATGCTGAACTCAGTGAGTTTTGTTGTATTGAAATTCTTAAACTTGTAAGGATTACAAAGAAAAGAAACAGGAATAAATCAATTAAAAATATGTGTAATTTAAAGGATAAGGGGAGACAGCCAGTATATAGAATGTAGATATAATGTTAGTGTTTATTTAGTCTTATGAGATTAACAGTGAAATTTTAAATTCTTTTATAATTACATTGCATATTTTGAAGACTGTTTGTATTCAGTTTTATTTTTGACTTGTTCTGTCCTGTGGGCACTAGGAGGAACTTGTTTAATTATATACATTTTGCATTTAAAATAAAATAAAATTTATGGGAATAAAATATGTATATGTTACTGTGAAAGGACCGAAATTAGAGAATGTCGATATTCTTCGGTGAATGTTGACACATACAAAATATGTCGGTGAAAGACAGAATATTTGGTTATATTATTATACATTTGAACAATTGCCGGTGTATGTCGACAAGCACAGATAAGCTTTGGTGGAGGTCGAAACAACACCCGAGAAGCCGATGTTGACAGAGAGGCAACAGTCTGTCGCCAAATCGTTTGTGGGTAGCCGGAGGTAGGACAAGGTCTTTTGATCCCGTGAAGTGGGGATTGGTTTGTCAGGTTGAGTGGCGGAGGATGAGAGGGGTTGACGTTAAGGCGTCAGCGATATCTGAATAAAAGATATCATTAACAGACTAGTTCGTAATCACGTAATAACATAATCAGTTCATAATTTGTAAATAAAAGTTACTTTCCATAGATGAGATTTCTTCTCAAGAAATATCACTGAGAGAAGCAGTTGCAACTAATTCAAAAAGTGGAGGGCAAGGCTATACACGCTATCATTGCAAAAAGAAGTGTTCCACGAATAAATGCAGTTGTAAAAGCAAGGGACTCTTGTGCAATTCAAAGTGCCATAACAGTTTAAGTTGTTACAATAAATAAGATTGTATAACGTTAATCACATAATATATGTGTAAGTTTACTATTGCATATTATTTTTCTTTTCTGATTAAGAATGTACTGTTCGTTTTAAGTTCAACAGTTTATTTACATGTGCTGTTACTTAAGCTTTCTCCTATTTTGACATATCAAAAAGTTGCATTTTTGTCTTAACATAATAAAAATATTTTTATTCAACATTCACCATCAATGCATGATGAATGTTGTCATTTGCCGGTGTAAGTGAGAAATAATGATATTTACTAAATATTTCATACATACACAAAACAACTGTGTGAATGCTGACATTCACTGGAGAATCTCGACATTTGCCAGATATTGGTCATTCACAGTAACATATATACAGATCTTCAAAATTGCAGATTTTATTATGCAGAAAGTTAATTACTTATAATTACAAATGATATATGTTATGTCAAATAAACAAATTTAGGGGATATAGAATATATGAACAGCATTGAACAGTACAGACAAAAATTCTGATTTTATTCAAAGTGTTAGCCAAAATTATTTTTTTAAACAATTTTCAGTGGTACTTTGTGGAACTTCATTTCAAACTTTGTTAATCATTTGCATTGCATCTAGAAGTTTCACTCCAAACTAGCATGATAAATCTTCGTAACAAGCAACGTCTTTTATAGGATAAGCTTTCTCTACTATTGATATAATTTAAAGTTTTGAATGATTTTCTGATCTACAGTTGAAATCTAGAAGTTAAATTTGGTGGTAAAAATTGAACTGTTATAGCTTTAAGAATGGGAAACTTGAAATGTACACTGCAGTCATCAGTAAAAAGAATAATTTTTCTGTTTTTGACAATTATGCAGGTGTCTAACTTTTTCAGCCAGTTAGAAAAAAAGCTTTGTTATCATCCATGCTTTCTTACTTGCTGTATATTGTGTAGGTAACATCTTGCCATTATGGAAACATCAAGGATTTAAAGATTTGGGAGCAAACATGACAGGTAATGTTTTATTAACTGTCATGTTTGCTCCCAAAAGAAGTGTTACATGTTCTTTGCATTTTTATTATCTTTGTGATATGAATCATCTTTAATCCATCTGTTTCATTCAGCAGACATTTGTGTATGTTGATATCATCATCTGGGTCTCACAATTTCTGGTAAACTTTTCAATCACTTATGTAATCTTTCGCTATCACTTCACTTTCACCATGGATTTTCCATCCACTTACTGCTTGCTTTGAATCTGTTATGTCCTAACTGTTGTCCAAATTGTTCAGCTTTTTTTCTAAGAATTTTTCCATTATCAGGAATATTCTTGTTCCTACACTGTACTGTACATATCACATCAACATACACTTTTTAGCATTTGGATAATCATTTTCTGCTTTCTTTTCCAAATCAAAATCAGACAGGAAAGAAAATTTCTGTCTGATTCTGTTGTTCATTGAAGATTTTCAAACTCCTCTCCTTGTTTTTCAGATATGCATAGAGAGTACTCGATATAATGCCAAATTCTTTCACAATTTTTGATTTTTATTTTTTTACTTTCCTCCATGATCTTTGTTTGATAACTTTAAAATTCCTATAACAAAATATTTAGTTTTCTTTCTTGTTTGCCATTTCTATCTACTTTGGAATGAAACTGATCAATATACTGATTAACTAGTCATTATCAATAATCAAAATGCTTACATGTGATTTAAACTTTATAGTGAAATTTATACAATGTGAACACTTAGTTCCAAATAAATAGCCACATAAATGAACTCATAAATTTCATTAGCCAATAATTCAGTAAGTTGTCTGATCACAAATTTGTTCATTACATTTTAAATTTTGAAAATCAAAAAATTAAAAGTAACAATTTTAAAGCTTTAAGATTTGATTATTCAATTTACATTTATGAATATGATTGTTACTTTAAGTGCAAAATATTGTTAAAATTTTGAATTTTATATTGTGCAATCAGAGGCAAAATTCTATACAATACTAATCTTCAAATTCATGACGATATATCCCCTTGAAAATACAAAAGAAAGTGCACAAAACTGTATTAATAATTTATATTTGAATGTTAATATGAAAATTAAAGTACAAAAGTAATATCTGGAATACATCAAAATATATATAAATGTTTTTTATGGCTGTATTATGTTTCATATGTGTACAGTTATTTATCCTATTAATTTTATTTTTCTCTTGTTATTATTAACTCAGACATTCTGTATAATGAAAACTAATTATTTTATTAATAAACACAAACAGTATTAATTTGTTTTATTTTCATAAATATTTTGTGTATTTTTTCCTGATATCTCTAATTATAAAATTAGAAGATTTAGAAGATTTCCATTTCTTTGGTTAAAACTGTTCTAAAGAGGAACACACCCTTACTATGGTATTGTGTTTTCTATTGAGAAATTGATATTTTAATGTACAGTATATACAGGTATACCTTGCCTTACGTCAGTAATTGGTTCCAGGAGAGACAAAGTAAGTCGAAAAATGACGTAAGTCGAATTTACTTGTCACTAGGCTAAACCATAAATTACTATTCCCGGTTCTGTATTTTATTTATTAATGCATTTTTAATAATATATGGTTAATAAGGATCTATTTTAAGCTTACAAACAAATAAATTTTAGTTTTTAATATAGTACAGAAAAAAGTAATCTAAATTTACGAATGCATGTACTGTAAATACTTATAAACATACTTATAAATGTATATATTTTAATATGACAGTATGTGCTTTAAACGCTTTTCTAGTGATATTATGACTTCAGTATTTGTGGCGGACAGATGTAAAGTCGAATAAAATGACTTAAACTTGATTTTTATTTTTCCATATACTTTTTTGACAAATGACATATAATCGGGAACAATGTAACTCGAAACGACGTAAGTCGAGGTATACCTGTACAGTGCATTCTAATAAAAGTCAAGGGTTATTTTAAATACTATTAGTCTTAACTACTGCTACAGTTTTCTGTATTAAAAGCTTCAATGTATTGTAGAGCTATTTTTTTTTTACCTTGGCAACAATGGGGACTGAATTTTTTGTACCTTTTCTGTAAATAAGGAAATAGAATCACAATATATTATTTTTACTGATTTGTATTAATCCTTTATCTGTATATAGAATTAAAAGTACTAGTATAGAAAAGATGTTTTTTAAAATTATATTTTATACTTTATGTGCAGTTTTATTATAATTAATACATAATTATTATAATTAATATATACTAAATAATGTTTAATAGAAGCCCGTGTTTTAGAAAATGTTTAAGCCCAATGAGCTTCTAATAGGGACAATAAAATAATTGATTTCTAAACTTCTCCATGGTTTATGAATTTTTTACATGCAATGTCAGTTTGTATTGGCTTGATTTAGGATTTTTATTATTCATTTTGTGTTCTATAATAATCTAGTTGAGGAAAACACTACTTAAGAGTTTAAAAATTTTTAAATATAATGTTATTCTGACCTGTAAGTGAGAAATAATGATATTTACTAAATATTTCATACATACACAAAACAACTGTGTGAATGCTGACATTCACTGGAGAATCTCGACATTTGCCAGATATTGGTCATTCACAGTAACATATATACAGATCTTCAAAATTGCAGATTTTATTATGCAGAAAGTTAATTACTTATAATTACAAATGATATATGTTATGTCAAATAAACAAATTTAGGGGATATAGAATATATGAACAGCATTGAACAGTACAGACAAAAATTCTGATTTTATTCAAAGTGTTAGCCAAAATTATTTTTTTAAACAATTTTCAGTGGTACTTTGTGGAACTTCATTTCAAACTTTGTTAATCATTTGCATTGCATCTAGAAGTTTCACTCCAAACTNATATTTTAAAATTGTTTTTTTTTTTTAAATAATGCTTAATTAGTTTTTAAAATAAGCTAAAATTTAAGTTTAAAAAGTTTGTTAAAATAACATTTTGCATTGCTGTTTAACTGTATTTGAATATTCATTATTTTTAACATGATAGTGAAATATACAGGATGGACTATAAAAGTTAACATAAACCTATATGTATTACTTTAAAAAAAACTGTTTAACTGATTTGTATGCTATGATATTTGTTATTTAACTGCTTCTAATGAAATGACTGAATCTTAAATTCTAAGATAGAATTTGCAATGCAAAATTTTTGTATTTATGTATTTACTACTAATTCTCAAAAATATTAGTTTATAATTTAATCATATGTACTTAAATTTCATCATATTTTTTGAGAAAAAAAATATGACTTAGATTAAAAGAAATAAAATATTTTAAATTTAGTTTCAAATATTTATAAAAATACAGTTTTATTTAATTGCTGACATTTTACATAAATAATTACTTATTTGAATTTTATTTTATGTTTTTTGTTAGGTTTGATATTCGATTGATGAAAGAAGGTAGAATGAAAGGTCAAGCTTTCATAACTTTAGCAACAGAGGAACAGGCAATTCAAGCATTAAAGGATACAAATGGTTATGTTTTAAGTGGAAAACCTCTTGTTGTGGTATCCTTTGTTTACAGGTTTTTAAAAAAATAAAAAGAATTAGAAAACTTATTTTTAAATTTTATTTTAATAACTAGAAATTTTCCCATCAAGTATGATGGGAAAATTTCTAGTTATTCTCTGAATTCTTCAATCTCTATTTTCTATGAGAATGTAGAGATTGAAGAATTGAGAAGATTACAGATTTCAAGAAGAGTAACTAATATTTCCACAAATTCAATAGCTTATACTGTCCATTGAAATGTGATAGTACATTTTAAATAACAGGCGTGTTAGATTGTTACATCTGATTGGATAATAGAACATCATGTGGCCATTATGGAAAGATTTTTAAAAAGATTGTTATAGAAAGTGATGCAATGCAGCTGTCATTTTTTAAAGTTTAAATTTTAAATTTAATGAAATAAGTTTAAAATACATCATTTGCCAAAATATTTTAAAATGCATCTTAAGGGAAATACTGTCGTCAAACATGAACTAAATGAGGTCACTAATGTCACTGCAATGTAAGTGCAATCACTGATACAAAATCGATAAATTGTTTATCTTATAACTAATATTTCTGCAAAATAAGTAGCCTGTACTTTCCATCAGAACATAAAACAAATATAAGAAAATTTCATCTGGATAGGATAAAATTTGCAGGACTTATAAGGAATTCACACACATTTTAAAGTTAAAGTATATCTTTGTTCGTAATTAGAGAAATGAATCAATAATCAATGGTTTTATTATTATAATTTAAAATCAAATTCATTAATTTTCTACAAACTTTTTACAAGTTTAAAAATTTGTATAAAATTAACAAAATTGATTTTGAAAACTTTGAACCTTATGTTAATAGAAGAATTAAATAGAATCTTAACACAGAAAACTGTTTGGTTCTATCTGCTTTCATGTTCAAGAATATTTGGAAAAGGATTTCCTATAGAAAAAGCATTAAATTTTTAATGCCGTCTGCTAGGGATTATGTGCATGATCAAAGAGGTTACAATCAGCCTTAATATAAACTATCTTCTTGTTAATACAGAGATAAAGTGTGCAGTTTACAAAGATTGAATTAATCAGTGTTTGTTTTGAGGAAATTTTAACATTTTCTATAATAATACAGTTTTTGAATGAATATATTTAGTTATAAATGATATTTTTTAATTTAAGTAGTAATTAACTTTTTGTTTTAACTCATTTGTTTAAGTATAAAAGGAATTTTAAATTAAATGTAAGATGGGACAAAAGTCACTTTCTGAACTATGTTGACTATAATTTCTGTAAAAATGAATGAAAATATAAAACAAGAAATTATTTATTTATTCAAAAGATATATTTTTAATTATATATGGAAAATTAGGTATGTCAAATGACCATCTGAGCATTCACAAATTTGAGCCCCTTTCCACAATGTTGTTTGTTACTTTTGTCAAAAAACCCAACAATAATATGCTTATTGCTGTTTGCTCTTTAATTCATATAAAGTTTTATTTTCTTAATATTTGGTTTTGCATACATAACTCCAAAAATGTTCTGAATTGATAAAAATGTTTTTATTGACCTATTTGCAATTTGTGTGTTTAAAAAATTATAGTCAATAAAAATCAAAAAGTTTAGACAAGATGGTGGTGCAGTAAAGACATTTGTAAGATATGGGGATCTCATATATATATATATATATANATTATAGTCAATAAAAATCAAAAAGTTTAGACAAGATGGTGGTGCAGTAAAGACATTTGTAAGATATGGGGATCTCATATATATATATATATATATATGAGATCCCCACATATATATATATATATATCATTTTAATGGATTGCAGAATAACAGATTTATTGGAATAATGGATTTTTTTCTAGCCCCATTTATTGTAAACTTCACATTTTTTCATTGTTTAGTTAATATTCAGGTGTTTCTGGGAATTTGTAGTTTGATGATGCATTTGTTACATCTGGGATATGTATAATTGAAGAATTGTACAAAGAGAGTTGTCAGTCAGCAGGCTGATATGATTGAGGGAAAGCCACATAGACTAAAACACCATTCTGACACTGGTTCAAGCATAGTGCTGAAATTTAGCAAGGCCATCGAGTCTTTCCAATTTGTAAAGATCTTCCTGATGAGTTTCAGCATAAATGAACAGGTTGCACTGTATATGACATTGCTATTATCAAGCAGTTGTACTTAATAGGCAGAAGAGTGGCATCAAAATAAACCAAGATGGACAAGTTTTGCAAAAAATCGAGAAGACAAATGAAGTGCTAATAAGAATACTTAATTTGCCTCTTTTTGTGCTAACAGTATATATTGTTTCTATCAGCTTTATTGTACACACATACAGCATAATACATGATCTTGTAACATAGATGTTTCTATGGAATAAAGAATAGAGATCTCAAGAGACTGAATAATTTAAAATACTAATATATTTCTTATATATAGAGGATTAAAAAATGGATATTTTCCAAGGTGTGTGGGAAATCTGTTGTTCGCAATATAACGGAATTACTAGCGAGGTTGTGGCCAAAGTTTTTATCTGTAAAACATGAATGTCGAACGTTGAGCACCATTATCTTGTAAGCGACGTTCAGCGTTCACATTTTACAGATGGAAACTTCAGGTGCAACCTCACTATTATCTTGAAACATTGATTTTCAGTGGCCTGAGCAATCTGTTAAAATGAGATTCTACTGTATATAACATTAATAAACTGAGTAAAGTTTTTACTTATTTTTATATTTTAAATGTAAAACCTTAATTCAAGAAATAGCAATTTGCTCGATCTGCAAAGCCAAAAGATCAGAAAACATCTGTAGAAACAGAATGAAATTTCATCAAGATGTTTCAGAAATATATAAATGTACTGTATGTATATAATATTACTCTTCTCTCTATAAATAAATATTTTTATCTATCATTGTATAAAATCTTTAATAAATTTATAAAGTTTGAATCTGTTTCCTTTTATTTTTTAATTTAAATAGCTTTGATATATATATGACAAAAATTATTAATATTTTACTCTAAATATACGTAAAAAGTATAGTGATTTTTTAAAGTTGCAAAGAACATTTTTGAATTCAGTTATTCATAAAATACACACATATATAAAAACATTTATGTAACTGCCTTTTTTTTTAAACAGATTTACTTTTTACATATTTTTAACATTAATTAAACTGCACTACTATAATTAACTGCATAAGAATTGAAGTTTGTCTAGTGAAAATCCTATTTCATTATGAAATTATATATATTCTAAATATTAACAATATTCAGTATTAGCAGTAGTTCTATAAGTTTTTTGTTTTTTTGCTGCAGTAGACTGTCATTTCTCAGCAATTATAGAATTTAGGATAATAATTTTATTACAGCTTATAGTTTAACATTTCCTTTTTAGCAGTAAAAAATTTTGTAGAAAACAAAGAAATGATGTAACAAGTAAAGCCTTAAGACTATATTTTAACTACAAAACAATGCTGTTACTTTTCATAATGATATTCCCAATCCATGCAAACTAATATTATATGAAAAGAATTTTTCTTTGTAAAATAAAAGTTACCATCTAGTTGTTTATCTTCAATATATTTCTAACTTTACATTCAAATAGTATTTAAGCTAGATATTCAATGAAATAAAAGAAACTGGTTTACTACTAAATTCCAAAATCAGTGATTATGTAACCTCTAAAGATTGAGATTATCAAGATGACTATTATTGACAAGATGATTCACGACGACTATTATTGAATTTTATATAGACAAACTATCATTTTGAATATTCTTAAAATCTGTAGAAGATAAATTCTATGTTGCACATACTGAGGACTTTTCAAATATTTGGAGTTTACCTTTATTTACAATTTTTGTAAATTTTCGTCTAATGGAGATTATTATTATTAATTAAAGACAGTCCGCCCAAAAAGGGGCCACCATTTATTTTTCGTGTTCCAGACTTCACATTCACGGCGACAGACCTTTCTTTATAGGCTACATGCCGCCAGAATTTAAAAACAGTCCTTTAAAAAACACAATTACATCCAATTAAAAAAAACTTTTTAAAAAAGGAACTGGTGTTACACAGACGTCTTGCTTTCCATTCTTCCTATGGGGTGTTTCTGCTTTTATCTACTGGAATGAGCGCTGGAAAATGCAGATTTCGGAAACTTCCCCCTGGTGACGATACATTCCAATTTTTTTCTTTTTGTAAATTTTCGTCTAATGGAGATTAAAATTTTAATGTATCGTCACCAGGGGGAAGTTTCCGAAATCTGCATTTTCCAGCGCTCATTCCAGTAGATAAAAGCAGAAACACCCCATAGGAAGAATGGAAAGCAAGACGTCTGTGTAACACCAGTTCCTTTTTTAAAAAGTTTTTTTTTAATTGGATGTAATTGTGTTTTTTAAAGGACTGTTTTTAAATTCTGGCGGCATGTAGCCTATAAAGAAAGGTCTGTCGCCGTGAATGTGAAGTCTGGAACACGAAAAATAAATGGTGGCCCCTTTTTGGGCAGACTGTCTTTAATTAATAACTTTATTTACAAATTACTGTCTAGCACTTTTGGACAACTGAGTTCGTCTTTTTTTTTTTTTTTTTTAACTCTCCGCCGTATGGGCACTGAGGGCCTCTTTTTGCAAGCCCATTATGGGTTTGGCCAGACCCACAATGTGGCAGCCAGATGGAGATGGATGGGATTCGACATATCCAAACGGACCACCCCTGAAAAATTCCTGGGATTATTTGACCCGTCCAGATTCGATCCCTGGTTCCCCAGAGTGGTAGGCTGCCACCTTGACCACTCGGCCATCTGGCTGTTGAACAACTGAGTCCATTGTAAGGAGAGTACAAATGAAAACATGCCATTTGATACTGAACTTTGGAATGACCAAAAATAGTTAAGAGTTGGTCCTTGGTTATTTTACCCAGACTCATCACATTTTTAGGTGCCTCAAAGACATTTATTACAAATAATTATTTCCATTTTATTTCTTGTATATTAAGAAAACATTTTTCTGTCAAATTTTATTATTTAAAAAAAAAACGTTTTATTTATTTATTTTTTTTTACTATACTGCACTTGGAATCTGAAAAAAGGTAAGTGGCCTGAGCTTCCTCAACCTCTGAAAAATCCTGAGTGTGTTATTGTATGATCAGTAATAAATTACTCATGAATTAATTTATGGTATTAGTGATTCTCTGTTTTTAAAAAAAATTTCAAGTTTTCAATGTGATATGTGTAATTAAACCACTAATGCAGATTGCAATAGTGTTATAAATACAAATTAAAAAATAAATGCCAGGACTCCAGGCTGAGATATTGTCATTTTAGTTCTAGGATATTTTGCTGGATGCTAAGTAAAGTTAAAAGTGAATGACACTCTACCTGAGAAATCTCTTTAATGGCTTTTATTAAGACATTATAAAATGTAATTTTATAATATATTAATTGTCGTCTCTGATGTCTTATTTTTTGTCTGTGATAATTTTTATAATCTGTTGTTATTACTTTGTTTAAGCTGTTGAAATTTATACTTTGAGATAGACATGAAATGTAATTTTCTAGTAATTTTGCTGGAAGATTACACTTTATGTAATGATTCTAAAACATTGAATACACCATGCAATTTAGTGAAATATTCTAGTATGTATAGTGAAATTACTCTTTAAATTACAGAAAATGATATGGTTCCAGTCACAGTTAGTTTCCTTAAAAAAGAAATACTCTAACAACAATCCTTGATTAAGAATGGCAAGATGGCCGAGGCGATTAAGGCATCAACCTGTCTCTTTGGGGAACCTGGGATCGAATCAGGCAGACAAAAAAAACCAAAAAAATTTTTCTTGGGCTGTTTCGGATAGTTTAAGTCCTAATTCCATCACCTGGCCTCCTCCACTACGGGCCTAACCAACAATGGTTATGGGAAAAAAATCATCGGATCGTTCAATGGATGGGAATAATTAAAAATGAAACAAAATTCCCAGTACATATACATGAAAAATGAAATGAGTATCAGCAAATGCTAATATAACTACAAATTTAGAATTAATTTCTCAATTTAGAATTAATTTTGTTGCCTAACCTTACCCAATTATTTGTTTGTTTTGGCAACGCAACACTTGGGCGATCTGCCTAGGGTTTTAACCACTAAAGAGGAACAGTCCTATTTACAGTGGCGCATTATCCCATGGGCAAAAGGGATAATTGCCCGAAACTCCGACCAACAGAGGGCCTCAAACCAATCTTTTATAAGAAAATATTTCCTTCAGAAAATTCCCGGGAAGAAAAATTCTGTAATCAACACTGTACGTGGGTTCTCCTAATTCAAACATGCCTGGACCCCAAGAAGCTATAACGCGCTGCTGCATATTTAAATTAGTTAATTAACCTAAACTTTTCTAAATTTACGAAGTTGAAACTTTAAGGTTATTGATGTCATTGATTAATTGAGCTAAGTTGACAGGAGATGACAGCTGACATGGCATATATAACATAGCTATATCACTAGGTAGTGGTGTCATTATTAGAACTCCATTACGTCGAAGTGCCTGGAGGCGCAACACTTTATTAAAATATTTTAATTTTCAATAATTTTGATAACTGATTGAGATTTGAATCACTTTCAAACTTCGAGTAACGACGATATTTAGAAGTGATGTAGCTTTCTATCCTGATAGTGTTGCATCAGTGTAATAGGATGTATTTTATTCTAATAAAACTTATTTTTTACTTTCCCGGCTGTTATATATAACAGAGGAAAAGTATGGCGATCAGTCAAAAAATGATCCCTCGGGATTTTTACATTTTTGGACTTAGGACATGTTGAAACGTCGAGAAATGGAAAAAATCGGGGGTAATTTCTGTATGTATGGATGTTAGTGTGTGAAGCGATTTTCTTCACTGTGTTTGAAGATTAATAACTCCCGTGCTTTTCGTCGAAAATCTCTGAAATTTTACAAGGAGGTTTGTTTATTAGGGAGATCGACACTACTAAATTTTGGTAGTTAAAGGTCGAGGGGGTGGGGAGATAAAGGGGGTCGTGTGTGTCTCCAGTAGGGTCGGACTTAATGACTCTTTTACTTGTTATTAGTATTTACAATTTTTTATAAAACCCACCTGTACCTTCAAAATTAAGCTTTTTGCCATTTTATAATAGTTAAAATATAAAAAGGTTTTTAAAATTAAATATGATAAGAGATGGCTGTCGTTTTTCTCCGCAATGATTTCTTTAATACAAAGATGTATAAAAAGAGCATAAAATGGAATGGACCATATTTAAGTTTATAAAACAAAGTTAAAATTATATTAAAAAATACAGTAATAGATGCTATTGTTAATTCAATACCATTTCATAACTACAATAGCATTCCACGATTTTCTTATTACATTGCAATTAACGAAAATAGACGTATTAAAACTTTTATCAACTGATGTATAAAAACAAAGAACAATTAACTTATTAAAGAGTAGGCCTACTTCCATGTTTACGTTAACGTAATTTACATTACTGGTACCGTATCGTAATCACCAATAATCTTTTCTTTTTTATGAAAGACTTTCAAAGTGAATTCAAATCAATTCGATTAATTTCTTTTATCTATTGATTCCATCGTTTCAGACCTATTTTTTCATCCATTTTGAAGGGGACTTATAAGGCATATTCGTCACGGGTTCGGTCATGCCCACAATAAACGTGGCCTGATGATGTATTTAGGACAGAACACTCCTGAAAATTCCTGAGATTTCAAACCAGGCTCGTACACGAATGCCTGCCTAAAGATACGTGCACAAGTCCTCACTTAACGTCGTCGATAGGTTCTTGGAAATTGCTACGTTGTCGAAACGTAGCCTATTGCTGCCCACTATTGGACTTGTGTAAATCGATGCTCTTCAATTGATTGTAGGATCGAGAGGTCTTTGTTTAATCAATGATT